TTATATTTAATAAATTAATCATTTTTTATTTTTTAATTATTAATTTTAATTGTTTAAATTTTAAATAATAAAATTAAAATTCTAAAATTACAACAATACTAAATAAAATCTAAAAATACATCTCATATTAACCTATTATATTTAAAAAATGATTTTTTAAATATTAATTTTAAAATTTAAACTCTGTAATACATAAAATTTTAATAGTGACATTTTTATCTTTTTTTCAGCAAAAATAATGTTTTAACAAGAAAAAAAAAAGGATTTTTATTTCGCGCAAAATAACATCCACATGCTATAAATACAGTCCGCCAGAAGAAAACCAATTTCTTAGGAGTTTTCCATTTTCCACCCACCGCTAGCAAATGGATGCTTGCGGCTCCCTTCCCAATATAAAGGAATAAAAATTGTATTTTTATTTCACTTTATCTTTTTATTTACTGAAATAAATAAATAAAAATTTCTAACATATATATGTTAAAGGTATAAGTTTTAAAAAAAATTAAATAAAAAATGATATTTAATTTATTATTTATCTAAATAAATTTATTCACACAACATAAATATTAAAATTAATGATTATTTTTATATTTTTTATATAAATTTATTATAAAAAGATACTTTTAAAAAAATTCATTAAAAAATCTCTTTTTTATTTTTTTAATAATTGGGATTCTAGTATTAAAAAAATAAAATAAAATAAGAGGAGGTTTTCATGGAGGGTTTTTTCTGATGAAAGGTTTTACTGGACAGTTCCTCATCAAATTTAGGGCGATTCACTTTGCCACTAAGCTAGTACCAAACATGGTTAAGGATTTCAATGACATGCTTCAAACCTGACACAAAGTACAAGTATAGTCCTTTTTTTTTAATTATTTGAATGGTTAGCTATATCTCAAAAGCACTTAAACTTAATATCTTTTTAAATAATTTTAAATACAATATTATTATTACTTAAACAATTAATTTTATTAATATTCTCTTTTGCACGCCACTCATAACATTTTCTAGATAATTTGTCCTTAAATTTTGTAAAATATAATTTAAAAAGATTTACAACAGGTAAGTATTTGTTAAATTTAAAGTTCAAGTCTCAAAATCAACATTTAATAAAGTTAAATGCATCAAGTTGGAGAAATTAATTTTGAGGTATATAAAAATTGATTTGGAGATACTCTAATCATAAATATCAAAAAAAAAAATAATAATAACAAGAGAAAAGGAAATATTAAGATGTTATAATATTTTTAATGTTAGAACATTTAAATACAACCATGAAATTTGTGCAAGATAGTGTAAATCCTAGTTTTATTAAATTTCAATCACAACCATTAAATATATACAATATGATATGAATCTTAATTTTATTAAATTTATAATGTAACTATTATTAAATATCTTAATATTTTTAATATCAAAATATTTTAATTTTTTTTTCTTTAATAACAAATAAGAATCTAGTATGCATTCAAAATATATAATATCTAACTTAAATTTTCAAATTTGTACCAGATTGAATTTTCACTTAAGGGCGTGAATTCAACTTCTGCTTATACGAGTGAAGAAATTCTTCCCTAGGTTCAACAAAGAGGTTCAATATGGGATAAAAAAAAGTTTTAAATTCACGTGATCAACGACTATGATAGTGTCAGGACTACTAGACAGTTCAAAAAATCTACAATCCTATATATAGGATATTAACATACCAAGGAAAGGGAAAGGTGGGGTTGGTGATAAGTTACAAGGGAGTTACTTTGTGCTTATTCCGGTGGGCAACTTGCTGCTGGTTTTCATACTTTTCCGTGTTGACAAAATTATCTTCATGTCACCCTCGGGGCGATGGGTGTTGAACCGTTCAACCATATCCTTAATTATCTTTGAAAGAAAAAAAGAAATAATAATGTATGGTTTTCCCCTAATTATAAGAGGCCACCAAGAAAAGTTCTGTCGAGCATGACCGTGATAGCTAAGTGGCTCTAATTCTTTACTTTTGTAAGATTTATATCTCCTCTTAAAGTACGAGTGGTCTCATAATTAAAATATTAAAAAAAAAAAAGAGTTCTATCGCAATTATTGTGTAATTAATTAGCAAATGTCCACTTTACTCAATTATTCTGCTTTTCACTGTTCATTTGTTGAATGTCAATTTTGCAGTTAGGAAATTACAAAGCACATAAAAAATTCTTTTTTTATATTTTTCCTTCAGTCCATTAATTTTCGTTGTCATTCCTACTTTAATATATGGAACTTTAAATAATGTTTTTTTTTTTTATCATGAGAAGATACTATTTTTTAATAAAGTAAAACTATCTATTAAAAAATTCAACAATTATTTATATATAAAGACGTTGTCTAAAATTGTTTGTTCAAAATTAAAGTAACAATTAAAACGAACTGGAGGCAGTACATTATTGAGATGTGTTATTGAATAATTATTAGGTAAATTTTTGGTCAAATGTGTAAATTATCTCTTAAAATTGTTGCATTGAAACAAATTATTATTTAAAAATGTTGATACAATTTATCACCTTAATTTTTTATATTTAAGAGATTAATTCAAATTTAATAATTATTGTTAAATTCTATTAAATTATTATTTTTAAAATTTAACGAAAAATTAATAATTATTGTTAAATTTGAGTCAATTTCTAAAAAATAAAAATTCAAAATGAAAAATTACGTTAATATATTTTTTATGACCATTCATTTCAATATAACAATTTTAAAATAAAATTTACATATTTTACCTCTTTTTTTTTTAGACTTTATTGAAATTTCAGACTCGAAATTTCTAAGAAAAAGTCCTCAACTCTTATTTGATATGGAAGACTTAGAGAATTAAGGGACAATACACGAAAAAGTATCAATTACATTGGAGTTTTTCTTTTGTATGCTTTCATCTAACTCTCTGTGGGGACATTGGCAAGAATTGAAAAAACTTTGGGGAGGTGTTTTCTAGTTCAACAACCAAACCATTTACATGTGCAAATGGTAAATTAATTGTTTCACGCATTTACTATATCGTTCTCTTGATAAAACCAAACAAGTGAATACCATGTCAAGAATGTACACGGTTCCATGGTCAAATTGAGTGAGGCAAAATACATACCCTTTCTAGGACTGGCAGAATTTGAAACTTGGAATCCAACCAAACGGACTTTGATGTTAACACCCGAATTTTTTTTATCAGCACTATTGATTCTGGGTGTATTTATGGTCACTTTTTTTTATTATATAATGAGAAACAATTATCTTTTATTTTTTATCTCATTCCACTCACACATCATGTGATTCGAAATCAAAACTTCTTATGTTATTCGAAATCAAAACTTCTTATGTAATTCAAAGTCAAAACTTCTTACTTTCAGCAAAAGTAAAAAATTATTGAATTATTTAAATCGTTGACATTTATAGTTTCTTATTAGTATATTGTTATGGTTACTTAATTTTATTTAATTTGATTATTAAGGATATTTAATAACTAATAAAATGATTTTTATTTGTTATTTAATAAATTAAAATTAATTTATAAATTAATATTTTTAGATATTATAATTATTTAAAAAATTATAAACAAAGAAAATATCAATTAAATTAAACAATTTTGAAGTGATTTTTAACAAACCACACCCTTGATTCCGTGGTGCTCTATTCTTTCATTTGCCACTCACCACAAACAGAATATGTGGCATGGAAGATGAAAAGAGTCCAATTAAAACAAAAGATTCCTGGCTCAAATGGAGGAAGTAGTCTCACATCCATTCACAAATATATGATATATCATACGTACTTTTCAAGGTCACCTTCTGTGGCTGTGTGGTTTTGGAATAATCTCCAGATAAGGGATATATGTATGTTGGGTTAAGGATTTATTTCCTTTAAGTAGAATTTGGATAAGCAGGATCGTGGCTGCCACAACCTGGAAGGTGGATAAGCACAGGAAATTTCCGGAATTTGTTTGGTAGCATGTCATTGCTGTAATTTGTGTTGAGATTTATGGCGTGATTTGGGAGGAGATGATTGGTATGGATCAAGTGTGAACTCGGGAAGCAGTTGAGGGGGATAGGGCAAAAAAATTGGGTCTCAATAGGGGACCCATATGAAGGATGGGTAGCTTGGACCGACGGTTAATATGAAAGAGACGAGAGGTGATGGAGATGGATAGGGTGCACGGGAATCAAAAAAATGATTCCGAGGTTGGCGCCGCTGGTAAGTGGTATAGCGGTATGGTGGTATGGCGGCATGGCCTCGTGATCACACGCTACTGCCGTATCCACCCTGCCGTCCAAAAATAATGCAAATATTTTCTATTTATTTTTAATAAATTTAATTTAAATTTTTTTAATTTCTAATATAAATTTTAAATAAAAATTTAATAATTTATAAAAATAATAATTAAGAAAATTTTATATAAAGAAAATATAGAATAATTTTTTTTGGTTAAAATTGAAACA